AAATGTCCGATTAACAGAAGCCGTTGGGTAACGTACTTTTAGTACAGTGCTGAGTAACATTACTTTTTAGTACATTGTATGTGTACTACACAAGACTAATATCTACGTCTATATCTATACTAATATAATAAAGCAAAAACAGACTTCTTTGTTATGTAGGATGTCAACAATATTTTAAAATTATGTTTTTTTCAATAAAATTCTCAATAAATTTACACGTTATTTATAGGGGGTGAATAAATTGGGAAATAATGACACGCGGGAAAGGAACATAAACTATAAGCCAATAGCAGCAAAGAAGCACGATTGTCATAGAAATGGTAATTAGCCAATGGAAAAGTCTTTGTTTGTGCATTTGAAATTTTCCAATTTCATGCGGAAACCGCACGGAAACACCTAGTATTTAATAACTGAGAAATTGAAAGTATAGCTTAAATCCGTTAAATTCTAAATGATATTATGAATAAGAATATTTCTAAATCTCACGAAAGATGATTGGGACAAGGTCATACAAAAGATAGTGAAGACAATGTATAGAGTTTCGTAATGTAAAGGCAGGGGACACTTCGGTCCAACCTTGAAGAAGTCAATACTACTTAGAATAATCATTCTACGCAACTTAATTTCCGGAAAGTAACATTTTTAATGGATTACACGGAATTTAACAGTCATTTGTTTGTGGTTCAATGTCTCAGATTTTTTTAATGTGGGAAAATCTAGTACATGTTATTGTTAACAATGGAAACATACAAATAAGCATCTAATTATTGTAATAGGTATTTTATATATGTAGCTATTGCTGTGTATGCTGACAGTTAAGTAAAAATTTTTAAGTATAGTATAACAAAATTGACCCTATTGCACTTGTTTAAATCTGATCCTTATAGACAAAATTACCTTTTGGTAACACATGGAGTATAATTCTATACTATTATAATAAAGCGTAAACACACACACTTCTTTGTTGCCTAAGATGTCAGCAATTACAGCATATTTTTGAATAATTCTTTTTTTAATAAAAAGCCCTACACTTACGTCACGCTTTAGGCTATATATATCGGATAAAAACCCTAATGTGAAAAAGAGACCATAAGTTGCTGCCAACATCAAGGAAGCAAGACTGTCAAGGTTTGTCATATCATTTTGACATTTGCAACTGACAATTTGGCACATGTAAACAATAAAATAATTGTATGCTGAAATCGCATGGGAGCAGCTAGTATCAATTAAACATTAAACTAGTATTGGCGTTAGTGTATGGCGCGGTTGCCCCACCGCCCAGGGCGCTTAACAGAGAGGTTATGTGAGAGTAAGAGCCTGATAGCTTAAAAATTACGTCACTGTCAGATAAGGGTACAAAAACCGATATTTCCATCACATATTTTACTTGTTCGATTGTTAGCAATTTAGAATTTGGTAGGAAAGGCCCCAAGTCTGCAAATTACAGTCACATAACTCTTAACCCCAGTCAAGGTACAAAAAAGGATGACATAGAAATCTTCTGTATGGCATTAGTAAAATTAAAATCTGTACTGTGTAAATAAAAGTCTTTATTTATTTTTTTAAATAGTGTCTCTTTCTTGTTAATCATGTTTTGGTCTTGTTAATCACGCTACTCCATTCATGCATGAATTTTTAAAAAAAGTTAAAAAGTGGCCTATGTGTTCTTCCAGACTATGTTCTAGATCTATGCTAAATTTCAGCAAGATTTGATGTGCCATTTCAGAGATACATAGAAACAAATATCCATCCATCCTTTTAAATTTTCATTTTTATAATATTAGTAAGATAATACACACCGGTATGAAGCATTTCGTCAACATGTTGATGAGAACTCTGCAATGAATTATGTTCCTGTCCTAAGAAGTCCACATTGATAGCGGTATGGTCATGACCAAATCTTCTGCTCAGCAACTGCTCTCTGTCTTCTTGTTCCTGCTGTCGTCTACGCCTCTTGTTTTGAGCATTTAGTAGAGAAGCCTGTTGAAATGAACAGATATTAGTTAAACAACTTTTTATCTTAATAAGTCTTCTAGCACAAACTTGAATCCACTTTTTATATTAGAATACTGGGATTATAATTATTGGCAATGCAAAGATTATAGTTTTTTTATAGTTGCAAAATATAAGTGTTATCTATTTGAATGAAAACAGAAACTTGACCTATATGTAGAGTTGTAAAAATCAGATCTGAGCCGGTTCATAAGATTAGCTCACATAGCTTTGAACAGTTGAGCTGCAACTCAATAACTAAATTAGCATCTCACAGTACAATGTGATGTACTATAACTATGGTAGACTATGAGCTGCAAAATGCTTCATGACTCACAATGCACACAAAACATACCTCTATGCAAGTACAAATTGATCTAATATGTGAGCTGATACACTAATCTGCTTCACTTATGCAAACTGTGAACTGCGCTATAAATTATTTTCATTCCATGGCTTGATCTATCTCTACTGTGGTTTTAGATATACATTACTTCTTACCTGTATATGCTTATTGTCATATTTCAACTGGTCGACCCTCATTTTTGCTGTAGGCCTTTGATTAATTGGTGTTTTGAACACAAGTATGTCCAACTTTTCACAGTTCCTGTAAATAAATATATTTGAACATTTAAATTAGTCTAAAATACAAATAATATAAACACAACATTACTTTACAAAATGATGAATATTAAGGTATAACTTTGTATGTATTAAATACGGATAAATTAAATGTAATTAAACATTTAAAAACAACGTTATAATTGTTACTAAATCCAAAGAGATAGTACAAAGTAAATAAATAGTTGTCAAAAGTAATACAAATTAAACAAAATTTATCATACTAACGCATTAACTGCATTAATCTTCGATTGAATTGCATTTTCAATATTTTCCGAAGGATCTCTCTCCAATTTATGAAACAAATCTGTAGTTTCTTGTATTAATTGAGTTGTTTGTAGGTAAAGTTGTTCCATTGTTATCGCCGCAAATGATGCATAATATACTCGCCAATCGTTACAGATAAACTGAATTACGATTGTTAACTAAATTCATTAATTCTATGTTAAATAACTATATCAACAAGAAGTTTTACTTTTTAAATCTGAAACATTCCGTTCAATCATAGTCGGCCTTATTTACTGACGTTGACATATTTTAAGAAACGTCAGTTTAACGTGGCAGTGCATGTGCCGTTTTTCGCTTTTTCAAAATTCATTAGTAAACGTTTAAAATTATTTTTTCATAGTGTTCTCGTCTTGGGATACACAAAAAAAAATGAATTGCGTCGTAGTATTAATTATGTACGACAAAGTTAGACGATTTAATAATTCTTTGCCATAGAGTTATAGAGCAAAAGCGTATACTCTTTGATGTAGAGTTTGCTCGATGGTTGCTTTTGCCATGTTTTAGTCTGTGGTTTTATTCTTTTTTCGTTGTTGTTGACTGAGTCATATATTAATTTATAATAAATATTGTGAATATCTAGTTACGAACGTTAAAATAAACTACATTTGATAGTGAAGTGAACGTGAAAGTTTATCACAATGGGTGACGCTTGTCAAGCTTGTCTAACAAGAATTCCCCATGCAACACTTATCGCAACTATTATGTGCTGTTTGGGCGTGGGAGTGTTCTGTGGAACCATGTACCGAGGATCCGCTCTTTCAATTCTTATGTTCGATGAAGTATTTCAATTTCGTCTAATTTGGATAGAGGCGTTGCAGATGATTTTCATCGTAGGCAGTGCTTGCATGGCTGCGCTGGGATTGATGCTTCTATGCTTGGGATGCCTTACAACAGGTGCTACCAGACAAAAGGTTTACCGCGCTTGGAGGGCCCGCGTCGGAGGCAGAATATCCTGTGCAGTATTCATGATAATCACATACATTCTGACTTTCATATGGATTGTATTGCTAGGTTTTCTAGTAATAACAACATTCTTGTTCACTATATTTTGGAAATTATGTTCCAAACCTGAAAATATTGCATTAACAACCTGCATTGACTTCACTCAGTTTGACTTTATGTTTCCATCTTCTGTCAAACAAGATCACATGAAGATATGTGAAGCATACAAAATGAAGTTATTCTGCAAAGATTATGTGGAGAAAGCAGAATTCATGTTTATTCTTGCAATGGTATCCTGTGTTCTTGTTATTTTAAGTTTGGTCCATTATCTGATGTGCTTATCTGCTAATTATGCACACATTAGGGATCATGAGAAATTCCAGGAATTGCAAGAGCTGCAGTATCTCACAAACCCGGACCTGCATGCCTCAAAGGATCGTTTCTAGTATATGGCCCGCGCACCGCTGTTGCGCTCCCTTGAGGCTTCCACTAAAATGTGACAGTTTAAATAAACTGTAATCGACAACTACTTTGTGTTCACTGAAAATTAAAAAAGACTGATCCAGTGGATTTAGTTTTAATCCACAAATACACACCAATTTTTTTACATATCTGAATTTTATGAAAAATTGTTATTTGTTTATTATCCCATTAGTAATTATTGTATTTAGACTATTTACTATTTATATGCTTTATGACATTCCAGTAACATAAATAGTGTATAAGAATTATTTCGACATAAATAAGTGCTTTTTCATCTTTTCTATCTTTATATACAAGCTCAAGGAATTGTTACAGTTTTGTATATTTTTTTAATAATGTGTTTAAAATTTAATTGATTAATGACAATATGTCTATGTTTTAAAACACATTGTAATATCCAATTAGAAATATAAAGAAATTTAACATCAAACACACCTAGTTTTTAAAGGGAAGTCGAAATGTAACTTGGATACAATAAAAAACAATGACCAATTGACCCCAACTAATCAATTGTTATTCCAAGTAACAATACTTAACATTAACAAATTGACAAACAAAATAATTTAGGTTATGGCCTACATAGGATGTTGAGAAACCTAAACTCAAACAAAACTACTCTAATATAAACAGACTTAATAGAATTTCTAAAAATATTGTAAACATGTTTAGTTTGTCTCATTAGCTAATAACCCATTGAATGAAAAAAGTTACAACTGTAAAAAGTTCTCATAACCTTTGAGTAACCAGAAATATGTCTTTTCATTAATTTTCTTTTTTTGGGTTTTTTTTCACTTTTTTTTTCATTTTTTTTTGTTTTCATTAAATTGGCCTTTAGTCTAATGCTGGTAAATTATTGTACTATTTCTAATTGGATATTAAAGTTGTCTGATAAATCAACAACTTTGAATGTAATACATTTAAATTCATACACAAAGTGTATGAAAATTATTATGTTGTGATATGTCTTTCTGATCACAGTTTTTACGTTTTAATTGATTTTTATTATCTTATTGGAATTTATTGTCCTTACCAGTAGAGTAAGATTTTTATTATAGTTTAAACTCCCACAGACTACAGATTTAATTGGCTGTTAGGTTTGTAGGGCTATGTATGGATGTAAACTATTCATAAAAAATGGTGTTATAACAATTGGATCGTTTAACTCCCAATATTTAGAAGAAGTAAGTTTATCGGGTAAGAAACCTGTGTGTTATGAATATATTTGTAAAAATCACTAGAGTTTAAAGTTTTATATGGAGCCAAACCTAACTAAAGTATTGGCTGATTTAAGCTATAGTCTGTGGGTCTTTTAGTTTTAGGATAAAATAAATAATGTAGTAATTGTAATCATTTTTATTAAATATAAAGTACAATGGTTCTAGTATAGGGCATGATTAGAAAGATCTAGTATTGACCACCTTTTTAGATCTTTTGGAAATAATGTTTTTTAATATTAAAGATTTGACATTAGCATTTGTACACCACCGTATTATTGAATTATATAGAATACATTTTTCACAGTATTTGCACATAGTATTTGAAAGTATTAAGACAATTATGAAATGGATTGTTCAGTTGATGTAAGGTCAATTAAGCCATATCATAATTAATGGTGTTAAAGTTCAAATGAGAAAGAACTTCAATAGTGGTATTTCTAGACAAAGTAATGACAATAACATAGTTTTTAAAAAATCTGCCATCATCAAAACTCTACCCCAGTTAATTAATTGAAGTGCTTCAAACATGCAGATTTTAGAAAAATTATGCTTAGCTTTTTGAACTGAATTATTTTAGAATAGGATTCATTATATACAATAAATTTTGATTATTTTACTACGTTTTTTATATCACCCTGGTATTATACTTTTCTAAGAGCAACGACAAATATTTCAATATGCATTCCAGGAAAAATGGGAATGCAACTTTTTTACAGAGGAAACTTGAACCATTTGTATCTATTGAATATAATGGAGAAAATATGTAATTAAAAAAAAGTTGTTGAAGCACCATCTAGTGTTAAGTTTTAGAAAATTATAACGGTTTTCCTTATAGCTCTTGCAGCTAGTCGCTAGATGGCGATTATTTCTTTCGCAACTAGACGCTAGATGGCGGAAACAATGTCAGAAAAAAAACTTTACCAACTTACATTTATTTTTTGATTTCTGCCAATAGTGTAAATTTTTGAGAAAAAGAAGGGAAGATTGGTACATGTTTTTGTCATTAATGGAAATTTATGGAAATGCCTATGAAAGTAAAAAAAAGAATATTATTTAAAACGATAAGTAACGAGGCATAAAAGTATAGACGCACTATTGCCTTTTTTTACCTTATTTTTCCTGCGTTATGAAACAACAAACAATGGTGTTTCCCAAGCTATTAATCAAGTGCACTGACTTCATTGACCACATCAATTATATTAAATACATACAAATGCAGCACCTTACAGTGAATCAGAAATTATGATGGCCATAAAGGCATTTCCATAGAGATGTACAATTACAGATAAAACTTTTATTTATTCCGATAGGTACATCATTCTCATAACCACTCCTTAACCATATGTGTGATTATTGTATACACAAAAGCCACATTAATAAAAAGTTTATTTTTGTAAATTACAAAATTCAGCGTGCACATATTCACGTTTTCACATTTACAATAATGTTCTTAATGCTACAAATATATTTTTATTAAGGAAAGAGTTACGTTAATTGCAATATTATGCGAAAACGAAAAACAAAGTAAACTTACAAAAAAACCTATTTCGTTACAAACTAATTGGTTTCTTTTTCTATTTGTTTGTTTTGTCTATATAAAAGTATCATGTCTTCAAAAGACAGTGTAAATGTGAGATTTCATTTCTATATTTAACAATTTTTTTATCTCAAATAGACATCCGCATCCCCTGGTCACTCTTTTAATTTTAATAGAAAATACAGAGGATGTCATACTGTTTATAATTATTTTTTTAAGTTAAAGTGCCAATTACCGTCGTACAGAGGGTGCACGTACTGCGAGGCGGCTAGGCGCCGCGCCCTTTGTGAACGAATCCACTGGTTTTAGGGGCGCCAGATATACTTGGGCGCCCAATAAATTAAGACGTCCCTGCAAAAGTAATAGATATTACTTTTATTGGGCGCTTAAACTTCTATTACACGACAATCTTGTCGTGTAATAGAATTTTACTAAAATAAATAATTTTTCAGTTAACATAATTTTTTACACAATAGTTACGGAAAAATAATAGTTTCTCAAGTGAAAATACATTTCGATTGAACGGAACGATGATTCAAATCAAGTAAAACGTTTCCATCAATTTTCGTTAATTTTCACCATTTATGATAAACAGTACTATTAAAAAGTGATACATTTATTTACGGAAAAGAGTAAATCTCATTATGGATATAATCAGAAACTTAAAATTACTTTACGAGGCTGACTTACCTCGGAACTGCAGGAAATGACCGGTCAAGCACACGTTCTATTCGATAACGGTTTCGTTGGGTTTTCGTAGCAGTTTTTTGCTACAATGAAAAAACTTATGCACAAAGGAAGTGCGTAAAAAGGTTTTTTAACGTCTCTTCTTTTTTGATTTCTCAACAAAAAAACGCAACCTTGTTTATAAGGAAAAGGCTATGCATTAAGTCTATCTAAAACTAAAAAGAACCTACCTACGTAGTTACCTTGAATAAGAATTTAGACTTGAAATTCGAGCTCTCGAGTTACTTTACTTATTTAAAAATACATTCTATAAGAAATATTATACCTAAAGTTTTACCATACTTTATACTGCCATTGACTTATTATTCAAAACAGGTTTTAATAAAAAACTCCCGAAGGGTTTAATATTAAACACAAAATCCTTACGTGTAACAAAAATGAACAACTAATTCTATCATCTTTATTTCGAAGAAATTCTTTGTTCAGATATTAATCGTAAAAACTTTCCACGATCTGTTGACCGTGGCTAAGGCGAAGGTTGTACTCGAGGTGGTTCGGTGTCCCCAATTCACATTACGACGGTATGCCAATGACCTGGCCATATTTTACCCCTTACTTCCTCGTTGCAGACACTCGACGCTTTAAGTTTTGTTAAGAGATTCATCAGCCAATTATGTGTTCTTTTTAACAATTACGACGTTACTTCTTTGTCTTTTGTTGCTCACTAAACTGGTCTATGAATTTTCTTAAATAAAATTGCAAACTCTATAATTAAAAATGATAAAAGGATGTTAGCATAAAAAAAAGTAACTTTGAACTCAATTGTTACGACTAAGATTCTATCATCGCGAAACTAATTAGGTTGAAGGATATTGGCGTGTAAGTTCTATTCAAAACACAGGCTAGTCGAGAAGATTAGTACTAGCATTTATACAGAAATGAAGAATTAATATTGCTCCGTCGCTCTCTGTATTTTCGGATGTCTAGACACATGTAGGGGTTTGTTTTATTACTCGTTGCTGTTTCACAGTAGGAAATTTATTCAATCTTACTTCTTCAATCTTACTTATATTATAAATGCGAAAGTTTAGATGGATGGATGGATGTTTGTTAGAGATTGTAGCCTAAACGGCTGAACAGATCGCGATATAATTTGGCATCGATGTAGAGGATAGCCTGAACACATTTTTTAATTGCACGCGAACGGAGTCGCGGGCGAATGCTATTATATAAATATAAAAGAGATATCCTTTGAGATTTAAAGAGCACCTTCATAACTACATGGAGTAAACTATCAGTGTTGTGATTTGTCTAAATTGTGTACCTTGAATTTGAAAATATGTGAATAAAAAGTAAATTAATGTTATTACGATTATGGAAAATAACTGAATAAAAATAAGATCTGTGTTCATTTATAAACTTGATATTCTTCAGTGTAATATTCGAAGAATCAATTTGCAACCGGTCCCGCGGGATTTCCCATTCCTTACTGTCAACAAGACGCCACAAAGGTTGCAACAAACATCAAGGTCTGCGCATTCAAAGATGTCATTGCTTATGAAACCCTTTCATTATAAACATTCATGATAGAATATCGATTATATATGTAAAGCCATTTAACTTGATTTTAAATATGACATCAGTATTTCTTAGGGCGGACGCACACTTTTGACTAAACTATATCTAAAAGTGTTGTGATGTGAACACAACTGTGTGTTGATTGTCGTAGCCAATTTCTTTTAGTTGCACAACTAAGAATCGTGCACTTCCATATATGCACATAGGAATAAAGTGAGATTAAGTTGTGCGATAGTTTAGTTCCAGGTGTGCGCACGCTCTTAGCCTATAATCATTACTAGTGCAGTTTAAACATATTTAACCTGTCAATATTTGCTATTGTCCTGCTGCGATCAAAGTGCAGTGAGCATTATTCATGAACTACGCAGTTATTCAAAGGAGTATTGATTTATTACTTTACTTTGTTACTTATATTAATTTCATTAAATTCAATTCTTAAAGGAAGATGTGGCTTAAAATGCCGACCTAACCGGTAAAACTAATTCATTAAAATTCGTCAAAAAGATTTTAAAAAAGCCGTGATGAGTCACGAATAGAAGGGATATGCGAAAAGTGATTTGATTCAATAATATGTATAATCTATACATTTGTTACAATCTATATTTGGTGACGTCATCGTGTTACAGCATTATTTACACCATTGATCGTAAGTCAAGGTTATAGTATTATATTTCAAGTTGATACTTTCAACCACGCATGTTAAACGAGTATGCCAATATTATCTCCAAACAAAAATGGAAAACTAAGTACTCCAACATCCTGAAATGAACAGAAAAGATGAATCAGGGAACATGTAAAATTAAAAGCGGACGAAGACTAGGTTAGTCCAGGACACGTGGTTTTTGTTTTGGTAAAAGGACAGTATCGTAAAAATTAAAGATAAGCAAGAAGGTTTTATTGTTGTGGCCAGGACGTACCACGATGTGGCCGTACGTGTCCGTCCTCATTCTAATTTCCCAATGGAACGGAAAATGATTGGGCTATCTCGATAGAGGTCAGATGAAATCTCAGGGTCCTAATAAGGAAATTGGTGACCGCTATCGGGTGTGCGAAATTCAAACGTACGTTGAAACAATTGTCCGAAATATTTTTTTTTTAGTTTTCCTCGCCCGAATAAAAGATGTTAAGTAGATGAGATTCATTCGTAATTTTATTTTCAGTTGTATTATTTTTTTTAACATAGGAAAGACAAATAAAACCATTATTAATTTACAGTATCATGTAAGTTAGCAATTTTTTTTTACTAGTCAAGGCCATGTACTAAAAAGTCTTAATTTGACCTTAACTCATATTGGTTTTTTTTTCGTTTTTTTTTTTAAATTAAATGCACTGTTCCTCTATTTCATCATTATCACATTTTACGTTCATTCGTTGGCGTGTTTCTGTTGAAATAATTATAATACAGAAGGAAAAACGATGTTACTCCAATTTATTAAAACATTTTTATTTGTAAAAATAATAAAACAAAGAAACA